TGTGAGTGTCACTCGTGAGTGTCTCGTGTGAGTGTCTCTTGTGAGTGTCGCTTGTGAATGTCACGTGTGAGTGTCACGTGTGAGTGTCTCGTGTGAGTGTCGCTTGTGAGTGCCACTTGTGAGTGTCGCTTGTGAGTGCCACTTGTGAGTGTCACTCGTGAGTGTCACTTGTGAGTGTCTCTTGTGAGTGTCGCTTGTGAATGTCACTCGTGAGTGTCACTCGTGAGTGTCACGTGTGAGTGTCTCTTGTGAGTGTCGCTTGTGAATGTCACTCGTGAGTGTCACTCGTGAGTGTCACGTGTGAGTGTCACTCGTGAGTGTCACGTGTGAGTGTCGCTTGTGAGTGTCACGTGTGAGTGTCACGTGTGAGTGTCGCTTGTAAGTGTCACGTGTGAGTGTCAGTTGTGAGTGTCACGTGTGAGTGTCACTCGTGAGTGTCACGTGTGAGTGTCACTTGTGAGTGTCACTCGTGAGTGTCGCTTGTGAGTGTCTCGTGTGAATGTCACTCGTGAGTGTCACTCGTGAGTGTCACGTGTGAGTGTCGCTTGTGAGTGTCACGTGTGAGTGTCGCTTGTGAGTGTCGCTTGTGAGTGTCACGTGTGAGTGTCACTTGTGAGTGTCACGTGTGAGTGTCACTTGTGTCACGTGTGAGTGTCACTCGTGAATGTCACTCATGAGTGTCACTCGTGAGTGTCACGTGTGAGTGTCGCTTGTGAGTGTCTCGTGTGAGTGTCGCTTGTGAGTGTCACTTGTGAGTGTCACTCGTGAGTGTCACTTGTGAGTGTCACGTGTGAGTGTCGCTTGTGAGTGTCTCGTGTGAGTGTCGCTTGTGAGTGTCACTTGTGAGTGTCACGTGTGAGTGCCACTTGTGAGTGTCACTCGTGAGTGTCACGTGTGAGTGTCACGTGTGAATGTCACGTGTGAGTGTCGCTTGTGAGTGTCACGTGTGAGTGTCACATGTGAGTGTCACTTGTGAGTGTCACTTGTGAGTGTCACGTGTGAGTGTCACTTGAGAGTGTCACTCGTGAGTGTCTCGTGTGAGTGTCTCTTGTGAGTGTCGCTTGTGAATGTCACGTGTGAGTGTCACGTGTGAGTGTCTCGTGTGAGTGTCGCTTGTGAGTGCCACTTGTGAGTGTCGCTTGTGAGTGCCACTTGTGAGTGTCACTCGTGAGTGTCACTTGTGAGTGTCTCTTGTGAGTGTCGCTTGTGAATGTCACTCGTGAGTGTCACTCGTGAGTGTCACGTGTGAGTGTCTCTTGTGAGTGTCGCTTGTGAATGTCACTCGTGAGTGTCACTCGTGAGTGTCACGTGTGAGTGTCACTCGTGAGTGTCACGTGTGAGTGTCGCTTGTGAGTGTCACGTGTGAGTGTCACGTGTGAGTGTCGCTTGTAAGTGTCACGTGTGAGTGTCAGTTGTGAGTGTCACGTGTGAGTGTCACTCGTGAGTGTCACGTGTGAGTGTCACTTGTGAGTGTCACTCGTGAGTGTCGCTTGTGAGTGTCTCGTGTGAATGTCACTCGTGAGTGTCACTCGTGAGTGTCACGTGAGAGTGTCGCTTGTGAGTGTCACGTGTGAGTGTCGCTTGTGAGTGTCGCTTGTGAGTGTCACGTGTGAGTGTCACTTGTGAGTGTCACGTGTGAGTGTCACTTGTGTCACGTGTGAGTGTCACTCGTGAATGTCACTCATGAGTGTCACTCGTGAGTGTCACGTGTGAGTGTCGCTTGTGAGTGTCTCGTGTGAGTGTCGCTTGTGAGTGTCACTTGTGAGTGTCACTCGTGAGTGTCACTTGTGAGTGTCACGTGTGAGTGTCGCTTGTGAGTGTCTCGTGTGAGTGTCGCTTGTGAGTGTCACTTGTGAGTGTCACGTGTGAGTGCCACTTGTGAGTGTCACTTGTGAGTGTCTCTTGTGAGTGTCGCTTGTGAATGTCACTCGTGAGTGTCACTCGTGAGTGTCACGTGTGAGTGTCTCTTGTGAGTGTCGCTTGTGAATGTCACTCGTGAGTGTCACTCGTGAGTGTCACGTGTGAGTGTCACTCGTGAGTGTCACGTGTGAGTGTCGCTTGTGAGTGTCACGTGTGAGTGTCACGTGTGAGTGTCGCTTGTAAGTGTCACGTGTGAGTGTCAGTTGTGAGTGTCACGTGTGAGTGTCACTCGTGAGTGTCACGTGTGAGTGTCACTTGTGAGTGTCACTCGTGAGTGTCGCTTGTGAGTGTCTCGTGTGAATGTCACTCGTGAGTGTCACTCGTGAGTGTCACGTGAGAGTGTCGCTTGTGAGTGTCACGTGTGAGTGTCGCTTGTGAGTGTCGCTTGTGAGTGTCACGTGTGAGTGTCACTTGTGAGTGTCACGTGTGAGTGTCACTTGTGTCACGTGTGAGTGTCACTCGTGAATGTCACTCATGAGTGTCACTCGTGAGTGTCACGTGTGAGTGTCGCTTGTGAGTGTCTCGTGTGAGTGTCGCTTGTGAGTGTCACTTGTGAGTGTCACTCGTGAGTGTCACTTGTGAGTGTCACGTGTGAGTGTCGCTTGTGAGTGTCTCGTGTGAGTGTCGCTTGTGAGTGTCACTTGTGAGTGTCACGTGTGAGTGCCACTTGTGAGTGTCACTCGTGAGTGTCACGTGTGAGTGTCACGTGTGAATGTCACGTGTGAGTGTCGCTTGTGAGTGTCACGTGTGAGTGTCACATGTGAGTGTCACTTGTGAGTGTCACTTGTGAGTGTCACGTGTGAGTGTCACTTGAGAGTGTCACGTGTGAGTGTCACTTGTGAGTGTCACGTGTAAGTGTCACTCGTGAGTGTCACTCCTGAGTGTCACGTGTGAGTGTCACTCGTGAGTGTCACTCGTGAGTGTCACTCGTGAGTGTCACTCGTGAGTGTCACTTGTGAGTCTTACTTGTGAGTGTCACTTGTGTCACGTGTGAGTTTCACTCGAGAGTGTCACTTGTGAGTGTCACTCGTGAGTGTCACTTGTGAGTGTCGCTTGTGAGTGTCACGTGTGAGTGTCACTCGTGAGTGTCACTCGTGAGTGTCACTTGTGTCACGTGTGAGTGTCACTCCTGTCACGGGTGAGTGTCACTCGTGAGTGTCACGTGTGAGTGTCATTTGTGAGTGTCACTTGTGTCACGTGTGAGTGTCACTCGAGAGTGTCACGTGTGAGTGTCACGTGTGAGTGTCACGTGTGAGTGTCGCTTGTGAGTGTCACTTGTGAGTGTCACTTGTGTCACGTGTGAGTGTCACTCGAGAGTGTCACTCGTGAGTGTCACGTGTGAGTGTCACTTGTGTCACGTGTTAGTGTCACTCGAGAGTGTCACGTGTGAGTGTCACGCGTGAGTGTCACGTGTGAGTGTCACTTGTGTCACGTCTGAGTGTCACGTGTGAGTGTCACTCGAGAGTGTCACTCGAGAGTGTCACTCGTGAGTGTCACTTCTGTCACGTGTGTCACTCGAGAGTGTCCCTCGTGAGTGTCACTTCTGTCACGTGTGAGTGTCACTTCTGTCACGTGTGAGTGTCACTTCTGTCACGTGTGAGTGTCACTTCTGTCACGTGTATCACTCAAGAGTGTCACTCGTGAGTGTCACTTCTGTCACGTGTGTCACGTGTGAGTGTCACGTGTGAGTGTCACGTGTGAGTGTCACTCGTGAGTGTCACTTGTGAGTGTCACTTGTGAGTGTCACTTGTGTCACGTGTGAGTGTCACTGGTGAGTGTCACTCGTGAGCGTCGCGCCGATCCCCTCTTGGCGGGCCCCCAGCACGGTCCACCGGGAGCGGCGAGGTTTTGTGGACATCCGTGAAAAAGAGCTTCGTAGCTCATCGGATTCCTACAGCAGTCTGATTAATTAACAATCTGATTGCGAGGTTTGTCCGCTGGGTTCGCAGTGAATAACCCCCTCTTCGCTTGCCTTCTCGGGCGCATTCACCGAGGCAAACATCCCTTTCTCATGAGCGATTAATTAAAGCGGTTAAAAAAACCGGTTTGCTCCGGCAAAGAGCATTTCACGTCAGTTTAAATTTAAAATCATTTAAGATAAGAGCAAACGCTCAATACTGCGAGATGTATAGCGACAGAAGATGAGAGCAGGCGAATGAGAGAGACACACAGACAGGACACACAAACAAGAGTGATCGTTCTTGGGCAGAAGGGACCATTTGTCGGGAATGAACCAGAGAAAGCGGTCGCGCTTTGTGTGCGTGAGCTGGAGGAGCATGGAGAGGAGCCGTGGAGATGGAGACGGTGACGGGGGGGGGGTGGTGGTGGATGGGAACGCGGGGACGTGCAGAGGGAAGATGGCCAAAGGGATGAAGCAGAGAGCGAGAGAGAGAGAGGAAATGTCTCATATCGGCGCTGAATTTTAAACAGCGCCCCCCCCCCCACCACCGCATCACCGCTAAGGAGGTGAGATCCGAGTCGCGGGCATTAAAGCGGAGTGGATCGTCGAGCGAGATAATGCTCCGAGACCGAACGAGTCGAGCGAAAACAAATCTTTGTTTGCGAACTGCAACGCGATTTTGACGACGCCTGGGGAAAAAAAATGATTTTCCAAAGAGCGTGACGGTGACAAAGAAACGGTACAGAGAGAATAACATAAAGACATCCAAGAGAGTCGTTGATGTCGATGCACATTTGTAACGAACAAAAGCGGGACAAGCGATCTATATATATAAGGCAGCTTGAGTGGGATTTGTATTGTGAAACTCACTCGTGCACTGATCTGGCGATTGAGACGGAGGTTTGGCCGTGACTCACTGGGGCCGCTGTTGGCGGAACGGCGCTAAGGCGAGTCGAGAGCACCTCGGTCCGAATACCCAATTCCGCAAACAATAATGATAACGATAGTAATAATAGCGTCCACCTTCAAACATCCTCCCTTTCGAAATCCGCGCAAACGCCATCGCGATTTGCGGGACGTTATGTTCGCTCGCGATCGATTTTGCCGGAGCGTTTTTTTATTTTCTGTGGTGGGGGGGGGGGTGGGGGGTGGGAACCACGCAAATGAAATCAACCACACATTTGTCCAAAGTCCCATTGCCCGTCCTTGACGTTCAGCGAACGTTCCGATGGGGTTGGAAGATGAGGAGGGGGCGGTAAAGTGGGAACAATCGCGGCACTCGACTAATAAGAGACACTCCTCAGGTCACCCGCATGCCACCAGTGTTTGTTCACTGCCATTGTTATCACTGCTGGTGGCGGAGTGTACCAGCCATGTATTTGTTAGGGGAGCGCGGGGTTACAGAAGGAGTTGGACTTGTGGTCGAGGAATTGGTCGAGAGACAGGTAAGCCATGTGCTTTGTCAAACACCAACCAACCCCACCGACGCCCGTGACCCTCCGTGGACGCGCCCAAATTCATCATTCTCGTTTCTTATCACGAATGGCTTCGGCGCCCTCCTGTATCAGCGGCACGCCTTTGCATGCCCGTCACATCTTTACCACGTAATGTGTCTCTCCCTTGTTTTCATTGTTACCACTGAAAAGGGAGCTCGCATTTAGCACTCTCGCCGCGAAGCGTGCTCGATTTCCAATCGCGCAGCGTGCGGATTTGAGAGAGACCAAAACATAAAGAGCACACAGACGAGGACACACGCAGATGCTGCCTTATTTTAGACGACCATCCACCTCGTCGCGTGACCAAGATGACCATCCAACTCAGACGACCATCCACCCCTTCCCTTACGTGAGTCACGTCGCAGGCGAGGGGCTTTACGTCTCGCGCCCATTCGCTGCCTTGCAATTCAATAGGCAGCGGTCCGCCGTCAATTACGGAGTTTGGTCAACATCGCGCGCGCGCGCAGCTCCCCGTCGCGCGCACGCGATGACGCAATCCCTGGGGTGTTGTCGTTGTGGCGTTTGTGGTTGTTGTTGTTGTCGTCAGTCTGCAGCCTCTCACTGCCGGGGGAAAGGCTTCCTTCCCGCTATGTTACCCCCATGCCTTGCTCTTCTCCGTTGTTGTGTCCTTGTCCAGTCGCGTGGCCTCGAGTCGGGGTCAGAATCAGGATCTTTTATTTTTTTTAAACTGGAAGAATCCGATGAGCTGCGAAGCTCTTTTCTCGCGAATGTCCAATAGGGGGCGGGTCATCGGGTTACATCGGTAAACAATGCAAACGACGATATGAGTGCAAGATAGAGAAAAGGGAAGGACGTCGCTAAACTGAGATGAATATGAATAGCGTATAGGAGGAGTACGACATGCTAGCGGGAAATCAAAAACGGTTCATACATTATCCGTTGCATTCTGAAGCCTTCATTTCTCCAAGACCATTTATCTCAATGCACGTATTTCTGAAATCCTTCTCAACCAATGGACGCATCATCACCCCGTGTACCGATTCGGCGAGGTGGTCCCTTGCATCGCAAGCCTCTGCCACTTCACGTGACCTCACGGTGCACCTAGGCTGGTGCATTCGCCACTGACCTTACTAAAACTCAAAACGAAACGACTTTTTGTTATACGAGGTGAGGCTCATTGAGCTGTATAGCTATTTTTTAGAAGCGGCTTGACCACAAATGATATAATTCAACGAAGTGGCTTATCACGTGGAAAAGTATCGCAGCCAAATTTCTCTAAACGCACGTTTCTAAATGTGGAGGGGAAGAGAGAGAGAGAGAGAACGCACAAACTCCAAATATACAGCAGGCGTCAGGGTCTAGGTAATTAACATCTCGCCATCACGGCATCCCCTTTTTTTGGGTGCACCTAGGCTGGCACGCTCGCCGCTGAGCGGGTAACGCCGCCGCCCGGTGAGTCGAACGGCGGCTGTCGATGGCACGCGTGGCACGCGTGGCACGTCGAGCGTGGAACAGAAATCACGGGCGCACTTCCAGCCCGGACCATTTCCATTTGGCTACGGTGGCTGCCCTCGGACACCTGAAGATTTGTCACTCTCTCTCTGCAATCGCGTCCACGAATCTTGTTGCGCAAGGGACGTGGTTTGCTGCACCCCGAGTAGCGAGCATTGGAGACAAACGCTGCCATCATTTTGAAGCTTGCGCTTTGTACAAAAAGGTACCGGGGGCATTGGCACGCAGAGTTGTCCCCGCGCCTGTAAAAGATGACTGTCGCTAAGTGCATAACGAATTCGAAATGGCAGACATCTCTTATCGCGCGGATATACATCTATGCCGTGTGTTTCAGGCTGTCAGACGCACGTTTCGGAGCTCTGCTAATATGGCAGGGTGCGCCATTGTGATGCAAAAGTTACATCACGGCGTTGATGGCGTCGCTGTTTTAATCTGTAATATTCTCTCTATTTACCCAGGACAGCTTTGCCGAGCCTCGAGGCGGCTTCTTCAGAAAGGTGCCGCCGTATGGGGATGTTTGATCAATTCCACGAGCGAGAGGAGTTTGGCTTCGCGTGGCATCACGCGATGCCCTCTTCTCGCCAACGTCGCAGCCCATGGTTGGTGCCACATGCATCCAAGTGCGCACAGCGGTCCTCAACCGTGCGATGATTCTGAAATGTGATGAGATCGTATCCGTGTTTGCGGACTCAGCCTACCAGACTCACTCGTTCGTCTCATCCACAGTGCCACACCACCACCGCACTGCATGTCACAACAATGGCAAGACCCACCACCCCCCCCCCCCCCGTATAACATTTACAGACTGCTGGGGTAAGTGCTGTTAGCGAGCACCTTTGAAGGCGATATTTACACATCTCACCAAGTACTCATTTGAGGTTGAATCGACCTAGGGGAGGCACAGAATCGGTTCAAATAATCATCACTGGTGTTGGCCGTGAGCGGAAATCAAACTCGGGTCGTTAGGTTAGTAGCGCAGCGCGCTAACCGCTCCACCACCGCTCCGCCCTGCATGTCACAGAACACTCACTCACACACTTACTCACTCACTCTCTCACCCACTCACCCATTCACTCGCTCACTCACACACCCACCCGCTCACACGCTCACTCACTTACCCATTCACTTGCTCGCTCACCAACTCACCACACTGCAGGTCACCTCACTTCTGTTTCCGCTTCTTCTCTCGCACTGCCGCATGTCACAACATCACACTCACTCACCCACTCACTCACTCACCCACTCACCCACTCACTCACTCACCCACTCACTCACTCACCCACTCACTCACTCACTCACTCACCCACTCACTCACTCACCTACTCACTCACTCACTCACCCACTCACCCACTCACTCACACACTCACTCACCCACTCACCCACTCACTCACTCACTCACCCACTCACTCACTCGCTCCCTCACCCACTCACTCGCTCACTCACTCACCCACTCACTCACCCACTCACTCACTCGCTCACCCACTCACTCACTCACCCACCCACTCACTCGCTCACTCACACACTCACTCGCTCACTCACCCACTCACTCACCCACTCACTCGCTCCCTCACCCACTCACTCGCCCACTCACTCACCCACTCACTCGCTCCCTCACCCACTCACTCACCCACTCACTCACCCACTCACTCGCTCACTCACTCACTCACCCACTTACTCACTCACTCACCCACTCACTCGCTCCCTCACCCACTCACTCACCCACCCACTTACCCACTCACTCACCCACTCACCCACTCACTCGCTCACTCACCCACTCACTCACCCACTCACTCACTCATTCCCTCACCCACTCACTCGCTCCCTCACCCACTCACTCGCTCACTCACCACATTGCAGGTCACCTCACTTCTCTCTCCTCTCTCGGCCTGCTGAATTTTGGAATCCCCTCCTCCCACCATCGTCCTCTTTCCCCCAAAATTCTCATAAAACCTTGCCCAGTAAAACAAACAAAATAACAGCGTGTTTCACAGTCTTGCATTTTACACCATCGGCAATGCTGTTTGTTGCTGGCCACTCGGCATTTCGGCTTTTTTGGGGTCCTGTACTCAGCAACCGTGAATTGAAACAAAACCGCCCAACATCATTGTCATCATGGTCAGTCTGCACGCTTTGAAAATCCCACTCAGAAATCACCGGACAGCTCCAGGAATTGAGTCACTGAGAACGAGGCAGAGTCGACGCTCAGTGCTTGGTAGCAGTGGACGGCACTTCATCCGCATGTCGGATTTGATTCAGGGGCTCCCCAGGCCACGTCGATAAAAGCAAAAAAAAAAATCCATTGCCAATTTGGGCGTCTTGGACGTCAATTAATCCGGCCACGTGGTGCAAAGTTCAGGGTAGGGGCGGCTCGTAGGACGAGTGGGCCGCGAGTTCAAATGCAATGGTCAGGGTCGACTCAGCAACCATATCCCTCTGGGGGTGAATAAAACAGCGACGGCTTTGTGGGATGGCATCACCGTGGCAATGTCGATATCTAACCACAGCCTCGTGGCTGCCGAGAGGAGGCGAGGCCCCCCCCCCACCCCCCCCCCCCCCCCTGTTTATTTGAGAGGGCACCACTCGGATGCTCGCGCCAAGATTACATTACCGTCTCAAATCTCTGACTCCAACAATTACATGCTTGTGCTAGGATTACAATAACGTCGGAAACCTCCAATTGCTGGCTGCACGCTAGTTACCAGGATTACATTATCGACGGAAATCGTCGCCTCGAACCAATTTCATGCTAGTGCTAGGATGACAATATCGTATGACATCGAATTGATGTTGTTGGACAACTCCCCCTCTCCCCCCCCCCCCCCCCCTCGTGCGAGTGAGTGAGATGCTCTGACGAATGTCGAGGATTCTAATGGTCGTGCCGAATTAAAATTGGAAGTGGGGGTTTTGTTGCTGTTGTTTTTGTATATCGTCGGCAAATGAAATCCGCTCTGGTGTGCTGCCGGTTGTCTGAGAGGGAGACGCGAATTAAAACGGGGCAGGCTGCGGTTGCCATGACCAGAACAATTGGAATGCCGCAGTGGCTATGAGATGTTAACTACCTCGCCTGGTATACAGGGGTTAGTGGGTTCGATACCGACCCTGACGCTTGCTGTATGTTTGGAGTTTGCGTGTCTCTCTCGCTCGTCATAATCACGGTGGCTATGAGATGTTAACTACCTCGCCTGGTATACAGGGGTTAGTGGGTTCGATACCGAACCTGACGCTTGCTGTATGTTTGGAGTTTGCGTGTCTCTCTCGCTCATCATCATCACGGTGACTGTGAGATGTTAACTACCTCGCCTGGTATACAGGGGTTGGTGGGTTCGATACCGACCCTAACGCTTGCTGTATGTTTGGAGTTTTCGTGTCTCTCTCTCTCCCCGTGGTTGTCTGGATTTTTCTCCGGGTCTTCCGGTTTTTCCCCTCCACGTTTAGAATCATACGTTTCGAGTATTTGGTTGCTATAAATTCCCACGTGATAAGCCACTGCGTTGAGCTTTCATTTGTGGCCAGGTCAATTATGCAAAAAAAGAGCTACTATAAAGCTCAGTGGGTTTTAACTGGTAAAATAAAAAAAAAATAGTTTAATAGCTTATTTTTAGATTTTTGCTGTTTTACTTTTACCCGATGTTGGTCGAATACTTTATGCACAATCGGAAGAGTTAAGTACAAAATTCTGATTTGAGAAATCAACTCAAAAATCTTTACCACCGTGGCGCCGCGCTGGCGACGATCTCCGCTTGTTTGCACGGGACGCGGCTCTGATCCCGTGGGCCGCCCTGATTAATACTGCGGGTGTATGAACACGGAAAAATACCCCACGCGCCGCCTTGCTTCACGTTGGACGTTAAAGATCCCGTCGGCAACAATTGTAACGTTCCCAGCAATAGCTCAAGAGAGCCACGGAAATAGAAGGCGTACTTTCCTGTATTCTGGTGTTTCCCGTGATGGACTCGGCTTGTGTTCGTGGCCGAACAACCGTTTAGCGGTTTGGGACCGAGGCGTTCTCGACTCTCTGGCGATGTTTTTTCACAGAGCGGAGGACGCTGCGGATCATGCTAATCTGTTTCTTCTCTTCTTTGCGCGCTGGTATCGCAAGGCGAGCGTCACGTGTAGCCCCTTGTATTGTTAACCGAATGTAAATGGGGATTCGGCCAAACGCGCTTTGCATCACTCACGGATTTATCTCGCAACCAGCGTGAGCAGAAGAAGCAATACTCGTGATAACTTGGCGAGCGCGCGCGCGAAGCGGCCGTATTGCATTAAATATTGCTGCGCTTGTCATTGTGCCCACTTCAGATAACATGCTGGATCTCGTTATTATTATGAACGCAGAGGAAGCGAAGACTCCCGCACATGGGTACACTGAAACAAACGCAGAGGTCACCCGTGAGGCCAAGTGCTGTGAGCGAGGAGCAGCACCTATGAAGGCCGACACGGCTCACGAGGGGGTCGGTGGCCGGCACCACCCATGGCTGCCCTTGTGTCCCCGGTGCCGACGCTTACACGCCGCACCAGGTACTCATTTCAGGCTGAGTCGACCTAGGGGAGGCCCAGGACCGGATCCAGAAAATCGTCACTGGTTTTGGCGATTAATGAGAATCGAACATGGCTCGCCGGGCTCGGAGTGCAGCGCGCTAACCACTACGCCACCGCTCCCTCCCCCTCCCCCCAACAATGTCGTTTATTGTGAAAATTCGGTCACAGTTACAATGATCACTGTTGTTGCATTGCTTTTATGGCTTTATTTTGGTGATTTCCAAAAGTTTTTTGGTTTGGCCATGTTTGTTTGTTGTAGTACGGAGTTAGACTGATGGCCTTAATCTAAGTTGTCTTGTTGTTGTTGTTTGACTTGCATCCCACTGGGATTTTTGCACACAGCGTTGGTGTACAGTGCTTTTTCTGGAATATTTTGCTCTTTTTTCCTTGATTTCTGTTTGCACAAAGTCACACAAAGTCACTTTAAGATGTTTTCTTGTTCATTGTTTTTGTTTGTTACGGTTGCACCCGATTCAAGAGCCGAATGGCTCACAGGGCTATACCTAATAAATTAAACTGAAACTGAAACGACGCACACACACAACAACCGACATTCGCCACTAAGTGGCGGTGACGTCACCACAACGCTTGTGCCAGGCTACGTGAAGAATCGAACGCCCGCTATCAGGAGGTCACGGGGCAGACCCAGGTGCCACGGGTCGACTGACTGAGACGACTGGCTGATGCACCACCTGTGCCCCCTACTGTGCCAACTTGCTGTGCATTAGCCACCCGGCGCTCCGCTCGTTGTTGTGAGCATCGCTCCTTCGCCCTCCGTTGTTGTTGGAGGGCGACTGCCTCCAACTGCCCAGTAGCAGCGTCCTTCATGAGCCTCCTCCACAGAGGCCGTTCTTGACACCGCTGATTGCAGTCATCGGCAAGTCCACTCAGCTCCACGTCCTCCTGTACAACATCACTCCATCTCTTTTCTAATCCGTGCCGGGCCCGTTTAGCCCCCTCGATCCGGCCGAACAAAAGCTGTTTAGGCATGCGGTGGCTGGGCATGCGGGCTACATGACCCAGCCAACGCAGCCTTGCCTGCCGGAAGAGCTCACCAATGGGACTTTGCCCAGATCTTTCAAGGATGTGTGAGCTCCAGGATGGATCGTAGGCAGGCCAGCCTAAATGTTTCTAACCGGCGAAGATGTTCCATTAGGGGTGTCCACGTTTCGCAAGCGTAGAGAAGGGAGGGAATGACCGTGGCCGAGAACAACTGAAGCTTCGTGCGGAACGATAGACCAGGTAGCTTCCACACAGCGTTACGCAACCGATGAAAATATAATGCCGCTCGACTGATTCGGAGTGAGACCTCTGCTGTTAAACCGGAGCCGGTCATGAGCACACTGCCAAGGTATGGGAAACTCTCCGCTCTCTCCACAACTGCATTATCACCAATTGGGAGTTGTGGGGGTGGAGTCTCCGATGATAGACAATACCAAGACAGGTGCGTAGTTTTGGTGGGGCTGATGGTAAGGCCCCACCTCTTAGTGGCACGCCACAGTTTCAGCAGCGTCTCCAACTCCTTCTCTGAATGAGCAGCAATTACCAGATCATCGGCATACATAACGTGGTTGACCAATAGGGAGCCATCCCTTGACCGCACCCGGGCATCGATTAGCCTCCATTATATCTGTACCAAATGGAAATTCCTCCGGTACAGCTATTGAAGGCTTCACGAACTACATGGTCAAAATATATGTTAAATAATGTGGGAGCCAGAGGACATCCCTGTCGCACACGCGCACACACGCGCACACAAGCATACACACACGCACACACACACGCGCGCACACTCGCACACACTCGCACACACGCGCACACATGCACACACACGCGCACACACAACAACAACCGCCATTCGCCACTAAGTGGCGGTGACGTCACCACGACGCTTGTGCCAGGCCATGTGCACCTTGAGGCCACGTGAAGTGTCGAACGCCCGCTGGCAGGAGGTCACGGGGCAGACCCAGGTGCCACGGGTCGACTGACTGAGAAGACTGGCTGGTGCACCACCTGTGCCCCCTACTGTGCCAACCTGCTGTGCCCTAGTCACCCTGCGCTCCGCTCGTTGTTGTGAGCGTCGCTCCTCCGCCCTCCGTTGTTGTTGGAGGGCGACTGCCTCCAACTGCCCAGTAGCGTCCTTCACGAGCCTCCTCCACAGAGGCCGATCTTGACACCGCTGGTACCAGTCATCGGCAAGTCCACTCAGCTCCACGTCCTCCTGTACCACATCACTCCATCTCTTCTCTAGCCCGTGCCGCGCCCGCTTAGCCTCCTCAATCCGGCCGAACAAAAGCTGTATCGGCAGGCGGTGGCTGGGCATGCGAGCTACATGACCCAGCCATCGCAGCCTTCCCCGCCGGAGGAGCTCACCGATGGGACCTTGCCCAGATATTTCTTTCAAGGATTTGTGAGCTCCTCACACAATCCAGTCTGGTTAAACCCAGGATGGATTGTAGGCAGGCCAGCTTTAATGTTTCTAACCGGCGAAGATGTTACATTAGGGGGGTCCACGTTTCGCAAGCGTAGGGAAGGGAGGGAATGACCGTGGCCGAGAAGACCTGAAGCTTAGTGCGGAGCGACAGACCAGGTAGCTTCCACACAGCGTTACGCAACCGATGAAAAGATATTGCCGCTCGACTGATTCGGAGTGAGACCTCTGCTATTAAACTGGAGCCGGCCATAAGCACACTGCCCAAGTATGGGAAACTCTCCACTCTCTCCACAACTGCCCCATCACCGATTGGGAGTTGTGGGGGGGTGAAGTGTCCGATGGTACAAAATACCCAGGCAGGTGCTTAGTTTTGGTGGGGCTGATGGTAAGGCCCCATTTCTTAATGGCACGCTCCAGTCTCAGCAGTAGCGTCTCCAACTCCTCCTCTGAATGAGCAGCTATTACCAAATCATCGGCATACATAACGTGGTTGAGCAATAGGGAGCCATCCCTTGACCGCACCCGGGCATCGATCAGCCTCCCATTATATCTGTACCATATGGAGATTCCACCGGTATAGCTATTGAAGGCTTCCCGAACTACGTGGTCAAAATAGATATTAAACACGCACACGCGCACACACACGCGCACACACGCACACACACGCACACACGCGGGCACACACACACGCACACACACGCACAGAGACGCGCACACACGCACAAAGGCGCACACACATGCACACACGCGCACACACGCGCGCACACACGCGCGCACAAACGCGCACACACACGCACACACGCGCGCACGCACGCGCGCACACACGCACACACGCACACACACGCGCGCACACGCGCGCACACGCGCGCACACGCGCGCACACGCACGTGCGAGGAAAACTCCACGGATTATTCCGCTCGTCAATAGACGATGAAAGGGGCGTTAATGCGCCGTGCCACCCTCTCCAATATACTCAGCGCGTAGTCGACGTGCCACGTGGTCGTTATTCATTCATAACATCGACCACCCCCTCCCCCCACTTGACGAGACAGGCCAGGCAACAGCTCGATTCCATCACCTCATTACATCTTAACGTCTATGCAACACAATTTGACGATACGTTTGAACTTTCTGTAAATCACGTTAATGCGATTCCACTCAATGGCATATCGAGTTCATAAATCGCTTAGAATTAATAATGCTTGAGAAACGCGAACGCATTCGCTTGCAGAGTCAATACGCCAATGTTTGCCAAACGTCTCGTGTTTACTGCTCAAATATCACATCGTGGTTATGTAATTGTGTGTACGCGTGTGTGTGTGTGTGTGTTCGTGCGGGGAGCGGTGGCGTAGTGATTAGCGCACTGTCCTATAAACCTGAAAACCCAACATTTGTATTCCCAAGCCACGGCTAAAATCAGCGGCGTAGATATCTGCACCGGATCTGTGCCTCCTCGAGGTCGACTTGGCCTTAAAAATATGACTACCATCAACACCGGAAAGACAAAGGCGGCTACGCGTGATGGGAGTTAAACCACCCGCTTGTTCCAGCCTTGAACGGGTGTTTACCAACCTGCGCTGACCAGCGTGGTGAAGTATGGTCAAGCAACCTCCAATATCGACACACCGCATGGACAGGCTCTCGTCCAGCAGAGGATTGACAACACGACTGTAAATACAAAGCAGTGTGTTATGAAAGCAGTGCGTGTTTAGACTGGATACGGTATTTAAATTAGCAGTCGTTCTGCGCCCAGTGAAAACTGATTGACGCGCGGACGGAGCGAGGGCACATCAAGACTTTCTATACCTCTCACGGCGATGGCCAAATGACACGGTAATGTATTTGTGAAGCGTGTGCGACTGGGATGTTGACGGCGATTTGGGAGCGCACCGAGCCGATGTAATTGACTGGCTGAGTTAATTCTACTACAACAGCAATAACACACAAGTAACAAAAACCGCCGTTCACCACCCAAGTGGCGGTGACGCTTGTGCCATGCTAGGTGCACTTCGAGGCCACGTGAAGTGTCGAAGGCCCGCTGGCAGGAGGTCACGGAGCAGAGCCAGGTGCCATGAGATGCACTGACTGAGATGACTGACAGATGCACCAACTGTGTTCCCCACTGTGTCAACCTCTCTGTGCTTTATTCGCCCGGCGCTCCGCTCGTTGTTGTGAGCGTCGCTCCTCCGCACTCCGTTGTTGCTGGAGAGCGACTGCCTCCAACTGCCCAGTAGAGTCCTTCATAATCCTCCCCCACCGAAGGGTCGATCCTGACACCGCTGGTACCAGTCATCGGCAAGTCCAATCAGCTCCAGGTTATTATTTACCACATCCGTCCATCCCTTCTCTAGCCCGTGCCGCGCCAGTTTAGCCCTCTATCAATATCCGGCCGAACAGAAGCTGCTTGGGCATGCGGGCTACATAACCCAGCCAACGCAGGCTTGTCTGCTGGAGCAGCTCACTGATGGGACTGTGTTCATATCTTTCCAGGATCTGTGAAATCCTCACACAATCCAGTCTGGTTAAACCCAGGATGGATCGTAGGCAGGCTATCCTAAATGTTCCAAACCGGCGCAGATGTTCCTTTAGAAGTTTCCGCGTTTTTGCAAGCTTTGAGAAGTGAGGACACAACTGTGGCCAAGAAGATCCGGAGCTTTGTATGGAGCGACAGGCCAGGTAGCTTACACACAAAATGACGCAGCTGGTGAAAAAATAAT